TTATTATTTATTTTTATTAATATTATGATACCCCCAGGTATTGTGGTCCACGCACTGGCTTACGGTCAGCGTGCGGAGCAAAGTATCGCGGCTCTATCCCAGGAGACTGGAGGCAAGACGTTCTTCTACAGCGGTCGGCCAAACTCCACGGCTCTCATAGACGGTCTGGCAGCGACTGTGGCCACAGAGACAAGTGTTATTCCAAAGGCCGGTGTGCCGCAAGCGGTGAGGGAACGTGCATGAGTTACGTGAATTCCGCAAGGGAATTTATCCTCCTTCATTTGTGTTGTGGTTAGCTGTCGCACGCAGAGGACACGGGTGTTATTTCCATGTGGGAAAATTATTATATAGTATCTCGGTCTTTCTGCTAGGATGTTTTATTCCTCTCAAGGCAGGTTGGCCCCGACAGACGGGATCAATTTATTGTAACATGTCAGGTTTTGTTTACCACTACTCGCGGCAAAATGCCATGCAATATCTGTCCCTGACAACGTTCAGAGATGTTTTTCCCAATGCGTGTCTTCTCATAATGCTACCCCCAATATTGTTTTTGAAATGGTTCTTGGAACAGCAAGAATTACACGCCTTGCTGTCGTAAGTAGAAGACACAAGTTTGATTCCATTCTCGTGTGGGAGAACTTTTATCGAGTGTCTCTGTCTGTCTGTTGGACGTCGATAGATATCCCCCGCTGGCCCTGACAGGCAGGATCGAAGCTCGCCTCGAGAATTCTGTAAATTGCGTCGATGGGCACGTAAAAACACCATCGTTAAAAAAGACTACAGTTTTTCTTGGATATGCTGTGTATTCCTCTTACAGTTCCTTTTTCAGACATTGTTCTTGACTTTTGTACTTTGTTGATCAAAACAGTTATATCCCTTTTTCCTCAGATTCTGACAGATGCTGGAATGGTGAAACGAGAATTGCCTATGTATGGAACATTTTACATTGATTCCACCGTAGGAAAGGAAACGTCTTTGACCTTTAGCTATTCTGAGTACATAGAGGTCAGGGTTCAAGGGCCTGATGCAATGTACACAGCTGACAAGTATAAAGATTATTTCAGATATGACGAAGGGTCGAAAGTTCTGAAGGTCATCCTGCCTGGAGAGTCAAGTGTGAGTTTGGCATAATTACTTTCTTCCAATATTGTAGAACCTGTCCAAGACCTCCACTCAGCGTAGAAGAAAAAAGTAATAATCTTAGACAGGTGGTCCTCTCGATCAGTGGCATTATAATATATGGAGAAAAAAAACCCCGCAAAAATGTGTGTGGTTTTTTGTTTTGTTTTGTTGGGGGGGGGGGGGGGGTTAGAGGGGGGAGGTATATTTCGGCCGTTCGTATTCTACAGGTGAATGACTTAGTCAGATGGTCGTTAGAGCAAGTTGACTGTATTTTTCTCAGTGCAATTAATCCGCGTTGTAATTTTTGAAATGTCATTTACGGTGAATTTTGATAAGAAGCAATGTGCACAAGGAATAAGAAGAAATAACCTGACAGAATAAACAGTTTTGTGTTTATTAAATATCTTAAATAATCTGTTAGATGCAAGACGATGTTAGGTTGAGTTGAACTCTGATATTGTTATTACTGTTTTAGGTTTGTTATAAAGTTTCACTTCAATCTTTCATTTACTTTCACTTTCTTATCCTCGTATTGCTGTTTGTTGTTGTTGTTGTTGTTGTTGTTGTTGTTGTTGATGTTTTTGTTGTCGTTGTTGTTGTTGTTGTTGTACTCGTTGTTGTTGTACTCGTTGTTGTTGTTAATGTTATATTACTAAAGTTGTTGTTGCTGAAGATGATTATGATGTTGTAAGAGTTGCTGTTGATGTTGCTGTTATTGTTGTTGCTGTTGTTGTTACTGTTGTTTTTGTTGGTAGTGGTGGTGATTATGAGGGAGATGATGATTGTTTTGTTGTTATATTCTATGCTCTCGTTGTTGGCCTTTTTCAAACAGTTAATTTTCTTATAACTTGGCTTATTTAGGTCATGGCTTTCATCTGGTTGCCGTTGTCTGTCTGTCAGTCTGCCTGGCTGGCTGGCTGGCTGGCTGGCTGGCTGGCTGGCTGGCAGGGTGGATGGATGGATGGATGGATGAATGGATGGATGGATTGATGGATGGATGGATGGATGGATGGATGGATGGATGGATGGCTGGGTACATGTTCGTCTGTGTACCTCCCCCCATCCCCTCTCTCTCTCTATCTCTCTCTCTTTCTCTC